CATGACATTTTTTTTTTTTTTAGCTCAAACACCGTTGATTTTGGCCGCATGGAAACATACATTAGCACTTAAAACCTTATTGAGGTGCTTGGCTTGAAACATAATTTGTGTGGACTTTTATCACGAGAAAAGAGCCGAATATAACTTGTTGACTAGTATTGAGCTCCATTTTTGACATGGAGAGAGAAAACCCGGGCTTATGATATGGACTTTAGAAAGGACATTCTCGTAATTTGCATAATGATCCATTGAATCTTGCTACTGATGAGCAATGTGATATACTTCGGATCTCGGGCCTGAAATTTGCTATTGAACTTTCACTGTGTCCAAATTTGAGCCCCGTATAAATTGGACTTTAAATGGAACATAGTGCTTTGTCAATTGACCCGATTGAACTTCATCACAAAACGACCTAAGATATTGCACCTCTTATCGATGATAGAACCGAAAATCTGTATGTCGATGATGCACTCATTGGTATTAAAATTTGCTGAACGTTGAAGAATACCCGAGAAATGAATTATTGTTGACCGCCCGAAGTTGAATTGTTAATAAACCCATCATGTTGCATGTAACAATATTCTGAATTTTAATATGGTCAACTCTTTACTATTGCATACTGGTTATTTCAGCCATATGTCTCTCGAAAGCAAACCTGCCTGTCCCGGGGTCATCGGAACCGGCTCTCATGAAAAAGAGGGATGTACCTCCGGCATCTGAGTGGAGGAAATCTCCTTATTTTGTCGGAAGGACCCCTTCTGTGCGGCGCGCTACCTCCACCAATTCTCTTCTATCTCCGAAGGCGGCTCCATTATGTCTCAACACAAATTTTCTCTACACAATTTTCTTTGGATGGAGCCACACAAAGCCACACAAATTTTCTCTAACACAATTTTCTCTTGATAGAATCACACAAATTTTCTCTAGCATAATTTTCTTTGGATAAAGCCTCACAAAGCCACACAAATTTTCTCTACACAATTTGCTGCCAATGTGACCACGCCTAACCAATGATCCCCAATCATCCCAAAGGGTCAGGGGTAGTCCCAGAGGACGTCCTGCCGCAAAATATTGCCGAGTCTCATGGACCCCCCGGGGTCGTGCCACCTCGACCCGGGTATAGGCTAGTTTAACCGAAGAGTGAATTTGTCTCCACTCACCGTCCTCGGGATCGGGTCCTACCTTCTAAAATGAAAACTTTTATTTGCCCATGTTATGTAGGATCTTGCGGTTGTTGACGTTCTCAGTACCGTGGCTACTGGCCATGCTGCCTCCCCCAGGCCGGACTCAGACTTGGACGACACCCTCCCTTTGTCTGCAAGACTTGTGAAGATGTGCACCCCTCGTATAGCAGTTATAGATGACGATGATGATGAGGCTGAGTCCTCCGATCATTTTTGTGACCTTATTCCACGCACGCGTCGTCATCGCCCTACCGTAGCTGAGGAGGAGCACTACCTTGGTGACGAGTTTATTGGGGCTCACCGTTCTGATGTTGAGATTGCTGGAGGGACTGATGCCACAGAAATTGATGTCGCGGGCCATGCTTCTAGAAGCGATGTAGAGATGAGGTGCGCCTCTGGGAATGGTGTGGAGGTGGATGTGCTAGAGATCTCTGAGACTCGCTCTGGCACTTATGGTGATTCTCATCCTCCGGCCCTCCTTCCTTCTTCAGGGATGACTGCTACTGTTCAGGCTTCATCAGACATTGAGATCGATCAGGTGGTCTCTACACGACCAAGTGACTTTGTTGATGCTAGGAGTCCTTCAGTTGCCCCTGCTTTGCATATTGATTCTCCCTCTGGTAATCTTTCTTTCTGAAGTTTGTCATTTACTTATGTCTGTGAGAAATCTTTACTTAAATGACTTTCCTGTTCCCTACCTCTAATAAGGCCTTCTTATCTTTTCTTCAGTGTTAGCTGCTAACGGGGTCTTGCCTTCACCTACCCCAGACTCTGCTCCAGTGTTAGCTGCTACCGGGGTCCTGCCTTCACCTGCCTCGGACTCTGCTCCAGTGTTAGCTGCTACCGGGGTCCTGCCTTCACCTGCCTCGGACTCTGCTCCAGTGTCAGCTGCTACCGGGGTCCTGCCTTCACCTGCCTTGGGCTCTACTCCGACTCTCTTTGTAACTCCTCACGGTTCTCCTTCTCAAGGGGGGACACCTGCCTTTGAGACGACTGCCAGAGGTTCCTCATCGCCAGTGCCTTCGAATATTTTGGATCTGAATCTTAGTGATTTCCACATTAATAGTGATGCTTTTGGTCTTTCCCCTTATCGTTCGACATTCTCAGGCTCGGGACCTCTGCCGGGAGTTACCCCTCCGGGTGGTTCATCTAACCCGATAGACATTGGGGAGATTCCTGAGACTAGCAGCTTTCCGGCCCCAATTCCTCCTTCAGCTTCTGGCAAAGTATCATTTCTCCATTATTGGGTAGCTCCTGAGTTTGCTTCAGTTCTACAGCTTGTGCATTCAAGTTACCCGGAGACCTTTGCTTCATTTGCTTGCTAGTGTCCACTCATTCATACTGCTCTTCTCGAGTCTTTTGCCACTATCTTATATAGCTTGGACAGGCAACGGTTGTGTGACCTTAACGGGAAAGTAGTCGAGACGGCGTATCAGGGGATCTCTAACATGGAGCGTCACCAAGTGGACTTATCATGGCTTCGGAAGCGCCTGGATATAGCTTCGAACGCCAGTCATCAGCTGGAACTTATGTCTGTGCTTGCCTCTTATCGCACCTCTATAGATGAGGCAAAGGCAACTCTTCGTGAACTTGAGTCGGGTTATGCTCGGGTCTTGGAGACTTTAGAGGCACACTCTACTGTTTGTCCTCCAGATGTAGATATGACGGGCAGCTTCTTCGAAGGTGTCTTTAGGAAAGATTGAGTTTTTTTTTTATCATTACTTTCTTGCCCCTTTCATTAGGATAAATATCAAAGTAAACTGGACCATGGGATAAACTGGTTTCCATAGCACCCATAAGAGATGCTCGCCAGTTGAGGCAACGACCATCTCGGAGTGTACATTGCATACTGGTATTTTGACCAAGGAGGGTCAAAGGTTTTAAGGCGATCTGGGCAAGTCCTATATGAACATATTTATAATCCTTGAAAAAAGGCATTAAATCCTGGATATTTAATAAATACATGAGCGTATCATTATTATCAACTGGAGCAGCATGTTCAAAGGTTTTGATTAAGGTTTTACTGAAAAAAGGCATTAATCTTTTTTATTTCAGAATTAATTGCTATGTTTGAAACCTGTAAATTTTTTATTTCAAGTTTTAAAGCATTAACTTCCATTTTTAAATCTTGGACAGAAACTGATTTATCTGTTTTAGAAGGTGAAGGATTTTGAAGACGGGAAAAAACTTCTTTCATGTTATAAATTGTTGGAACTAAAACTTCTTCCTTTTTCTGTTTATAACACATTTCAAGAAATTTTAATTTGATTTCTGGATCTTTTATATTGTCAGCAATAGCTAAGAGATTTTGTTCAGAATCGGTCAAAACATTAATACTTGGACTATTAATATTTAAACCATTCATTTCTACTATTGACTTCCAATAATTGGCCTCATCAGAAACTTGATTAACAGAAGTTTTACAAGGACAAAGTTCATTTTCTGGACATTCATTCTCAGTGTCAGAGGAGGATGAATAAATTGCTGCTAATTCATTGTCAGATGGGTCATCTGAATATGAATCAGAGTCAGAAATTAATTGTAAAATTTTTTGCTGTATCTCATCATCTAATGCTAACTCATTTAATTTTGCCTGTATTTTAGTTCTACATTTGTTAGCATAATGTCCTGTTTGTCCGCATTTATAACATTTAATATTAGATTTATTTTTCTGAAATGATTTTCCTTTAGACTTGGACCGAAATTTAGAGGTCTGGGGTTGAGGTTGAGATTTAGAATATTTTGAAAATTTTCTGGATTTTTTGTATGGCTTGGAATGATTCTTATGTTTTCTTTGCTTATGAAGGTTGTAAGGATACTGAATTTGGGGGTCATAAGCAAATTGTTCACAAAAATCTCCTACCTCTCTTTTTCCCATTAAATGTTGTTGTTTGAGTTGTTGCTGGAGTTTAAGGTCATTACATAAAGCAAGACCTTCACTTGTCACAATATTAATCAACTGACCGTAAGTATATTGATAATATGGAATATCAACAGAGCGATGTATGTCTCGTAATCGCTTACGAACACGTTCGGCGAAGAGATGAGGAAGACCATCAATGAATTTGGCTTTCCAATGTTCATCACTTCCATCTGTTCTCTGCATAACTTTCATCAGAAAAACATCTTTATACCAACGAAAATGAGATAAAGTCGGGCATCTTAACTTCATAAGTAATTCCCTATTTCTGTCGGCAATACCAATAGTGTTACCAACAAAGTTAGCAACAATTGTATTAATAAGAGTGTAAACAGCATCTTCTTCTTCGGTCTCAATGGGGTCAGGATTCGGGTTTGCATGTGTCCGATCAGGAATTGTAGTTACAGTTTTGGTTGCAGAAAGGATTTCAGCGCATTGATTGTTAGTGAGATAATTATCCCACCATCCTTTCAGCGCGCCAGTAAAACCACTAACAAGCATGCGAGCAACTTGGTGATCAGTATTGTGATTTTGCTTACAAACAGTAGCAAACATGAGCATATGATGAAGGAGTTCATATAGTTGGTATTCGGAAAGGCCATCAATATTCCATTCATAAATAGCAGTACTATTATAAGAGCGTTGAGTCTGGAGGAAATCTTCTTCATACAAGATATCCATAGGAGTTGGTCTAGGGTAATAGTGACGAGAACTACCAACAGGGACCATTTTCTGGATGTTGGGCGTATAAACGCGATTAACAGTGGATGGTTCAGGAGATGTAAAATTAGCCTCAATTTGATGAATTTGAGGGAGACTCAAGTTTTGATAAGGAGTTTCTGGAAGATTATGAGAAGGATTACTGGATAACACAAGGATTTGAGCTGTAGATTTAGAGGAAGAATCAGAAATTTTTAAATCACGGATTTGTGATAAAATAGTTTCCATAAAATCAGTATCAGCTTTAGGTTTTAAATTAAAATTTTGCAAAACTGGAGATGGTTTGATAAAAACTGGATCTGTAAGTACAGGGGGTTTGGGTTCCAATTTGCAGCTTTTCTTAACATGAGATACCATTTCTTCAATGCGAGTAAGTTGCTTTCCAGCAGTTTGACAGAATAAATTGGTATAATTATTTTGTTTCAAAACAGTAGTAAAATCTTGAATTAAGACGGGATCTTTATTTTGTGTTCGGTGTGGCATGTCAGAAAAGGCAGCAATCACCATGGGCTTACCATTAGAGGTGGAAGTCTGAGTATTAATTGGTTGGAGTTCTAATGGCTGGGTTGGAGGATGAATATTTACAATAGTTCGTCCGTCAGTAGTAACCCATTTTTGCTGGAATTCTTCAAG